AGTCCTCATTGGTACTTTTCATGCTAGGACTTTAACATATTATAAAAACGAGAATGCCATAGGTACCAAAAGCATAATGAAAAAAAATAATCACACCTATATAATTATTGTAGTAATATTGAAAAATCATACAAATCGACGGCAATAATCGATAATTTAAATACGTAATAAACAAAAATATATCAATTTTTCTAATCCAAATATATTATGGTAGCCTACCATGCTACCATACCAAATATGCCGTCACTGGTACTACAAAGCAATTGAAACATTTGGTCAGAGTTTGTTTAAATAGTGAATGCAAGAGATTAGGTTTCAAACATTTTTATTTTTTGTGTATAAAATTAAAAGATGCTGTAGGCCTATATAAAAATATGTTAAAATAGTTATGTTTTAAGAAAGATTTTTGATATAGAACTTATTGCTTATTTGGCCTTAAATTGCTCTATTTGAAGCCTAAATTTATACATTTTTCCCGGGGGAGGACCCCCGGACCCCCCTTTACCTTGGGGGGTATTCCATACCCCCCAATCCCCCCGGAGGCCCCCCACACGGAAATCCTAGGGCCCCATTGGAAAATTTGCCCGGGGCCCCTGAAGTCCTAAGTCCGGCCCTGGTACAGAAAGCTGCTAATTGCTGCATATTTATACTTTGCCGTACGGTTTATACTTTGCCGCACATCAGGATTCCAACGAAACAACACAAAACAGCGTGGTTCTATTATGCACGTAATCCGTGTACGCTAGGAAATAGGTTGGCAACACTTAAAGATAATAATACTATGAGCAGCTGATTGACTATTATAACTACGAATTAACCTGTCATTTCGTGTTTACCGTTTCTGTATTTCTGAACTTTCTGGACTTTTCTTTTAAACGTTTTTAAAACATTCCTACGATCTTAATAAACAAGAAAATACCTTTAAAGCATTGTTTTTAGGCGCGGAAACCACTTCAAATTACAAAAACATACGGAACTATATTCTCAAAACACGGAGCACATTTCTTGCCGAGGAAAAATAGCGGAGTGATACGGACCGCGGGTACTACTTTCTCTAGGACACCATTTGTGTTGCCAGCTGAACCTAAAAACGTGTTGTATAGTGTTTGTAAGACTAATTAATTATTTATATGCTTTATAGTGACTGTAAAAAATATAATGTGTAACACGAGTGAAAAAGGCCTTTGCTGCACTCGAGATCATTCCGCACTCGCCTGCGGCTCGTGCGTAAACATTGCTCTCGTGTGCAGCAAAGTGCCACTTTCACCACTAGTTACACAAATAACTATTGAGATAAGAATATGCCTATATTATAATCGGGAATAGCTGCGCGCGCACTATGGCGGCACGGCACGGACGAGCGGGCGGCACGGCAATTTTTAAAAGTTAATAACATTGAATGTAATATGAGTGCGCCCACTACGGCGGGACTCGGCAGCTTCCGCCGTTTGTTAAAACGTCCGGGAGACAGAACTCTAGGACATTTCCGACTCCGAGCTGCCGTACCGCCCGTACCGACCGGGAGCACTGCACACCGACCGGGCGGGCGGCACGGGACTTCTGCCATTCTCAACTGGTCTCTGTCAAAGTCGCAATGTTTTCGTGTGTTTTATAGGCTACTATGTGTGTTGTAAACATGGATGTTAGTAAGTTGATTGTTCTGGTTGAGAAATATCCGAAACTGTGCGACATGCGACATCCGGAATATTTTAATAACGCTCGGCGTGAAAATATATAGGCAGAAATAGGATCTATTATGAAACAATCAGGTAGGTTTTTTTTGGTGTTACACATTATGCTCTACAAGATCAGGAAACGAGGTGTAGAACTCTCCAAAACTGTCTTTTCATGTTTATGTGGTTCATCCAAAATCTGCTTCCGCCTTCTTGTCTCCTCTTCCTCTGCTAAAATTAAACCTCCTATCACCACTTTATCTACATCCATCTTTACTCATAAGTTTTATCTCGCAGACTGTCAACTGTCCTAAATTGCGGATGTGCGGATGTCCCGTCCCGTCCATCCGTGCCCATGTGCCGCCCTAGTGCGCGCACCCCCTCTTAAAAATACCGACCGTGCCGTACCGCCCTTCCGTGCCGTGCCGCCGTAGTGCGCGCGTAGCTGCTAAAAATGTGTTCTATCATCATGCCAAATTTCAGCCCAATCCGTCCAGTAGTTATTGCGTGATTGAACTTCAAACAAACAAACACACAAACTACAAACTTTCACATTTATAATAGGTATTAGTAAGATAAGGGAGAGTATGTTTTATCCATGGTCGTCTTACTTCTTACTCAAATAGTAGTTTATTGGGATGTAAGAAGATAGACCTGTACATTTAATTTGGATATTTTACAGGTTATGAAAAATCTATTTTCGTAGTCGGTCATTTGATTCTTTTATTCAAATTAATACCACTTTTGTGAACTTCTGATTTAGTTTGTATTTTGTATACTGGGGCTTTGTAACCTTGAATGCTTGTCCTTGATAGGTTATAATATTTGATTCTTTGAAGGCCTATTATATCTGTTGTGCGAGTGTTAACAATAGTTTGGTTCCTTAATATTTCTGTATTATTAACTCACCATTACCGAAATAATTCCCGAATCATTAGTAAATAAATAAATAGTTTTGACATTTTTGTATGGGTAAAAATAGGTTTTTCCCATTTTTGACCCTAAAAACACAAAATTTCACAATTAATTTTCAAACCATTATGTAGAGCTTAAAGAAACAAATAATTTAGTATATTGAAGCGTTATCATGCGCGGAGAAAATTCAAAAAAATTGTAATTTTAAAATTCCCATGTTTTAAAATGACTTTGGAGAATAAGTCAACTGTTGTAGTTTGCTTATTTATGAACATATTTTTGATCAAATTTGGAAAATACATTAATTTCTTCCTAAACTACAGTACCTATTAACATTTTAAATCAAAAAACACTTTTTTACCCTCCCTGTTGCAGCAAACCTAAGTACTCGTTAAACTAATTCTATTTAAATCCTACTATATAATATTATAAATGAGAAAGTTTGGATGTATGGATGTATGTTTGTGACAAGTGAACGCGAAAAATACTGGTCGGATTGGGCTGAAATTTGGCATGATGATAGCTCACATTCCCGATTAACATATAGGCATATTCTTATTTCAAAAATCCTTTCGGGCTCCGCCCCAGTGGCTCTGGAGTTTCCCATGTTAACCTTATGATTTTTCATATTTAAAAGGAATTTCTTAACAGCTGTTTCAATTAAACAAGTTGGTTCTGTTCTATGATGTTCAATAGCATTAAAGTTACAAGGATTACCAACAGGGTGCAGCACTATTTTTTTTTTTTATTTATGACTGCAGCCAATTTGCAACCAAAAGGTGAGTGAGCGTAGCGAACGAACTTCAACCTGGAAGCGAGTTAGGATAGCGAACGAGCTAACCTGAAGGCAAGTGAGCGGAGTGAACGAGCTCCAACCTAAAGGTGAGTGAGCGTAGCGAACGAACTTCAACCAGGACGTGATTGAGCCATGCGAACGAGCTCACTTGTGAAGTTAAACGGGGCAAAGCCCGCGGGTACAGCTATCCTACTAATATTATAAATGAGAAAGTTTGGATGTATGGATGTATGGATGTATGGATGTATGTTTGTGACAAGTGAACGCGAAAAATACTGGTCGGATTGGGCTGAAATTTGGCATGATGATAGCTCACATTCCCGATTAACATATAGGCATATTCTTATTTCAAAAATCCTTTCGGGCTCCGCCCCAGTGGCTCTGGAGTTTCCCATGTTAACCTTATGATTTTTCATATTTAAAAGGAATTTCTTAACAGCTGTTTCAATTAAACAAGTTGGTTCTGTTCTATGATGTTCAATAGCATTAAAGTTACAAGGATTACCAACAGGGTGCAGCACTATTTTTTTTTTTTTATTTATGACTGCAGCCAATTTGCAACCAAAAGGTGAGTGAGCGTAGCGAACGAACTTCAACCTGGAAGCGAGTTAGGATAGCGAACGAGCTAACCTGAAGGCAAGTGAGCGGAGTGAACGAGCTCCAACCTAAAGGTGAGTGAGCGTAGCGAACGAACTTCAACCAGGACGTGATTGAGCCATGCGAACGAGCTCACTTGTGAAGTTAAACGGGGCAAAGCCCGCGGGTACAGCTAGTAGGGAATAAATGTGATATATTTAAGGAGACATTTTAGTGTAAATCCAATGAGGCAAATGGAAATTTGCTAAGTCTGCAGGTTTGCTGCGGCGGGGGTATTTTTCCTTTCTCTGAGCATGCAAGATAATTTGTTGGATGTCTTGTATGCAACTTGTACATCGTTCTTTGACATTTCTTTTCTCAAGGTGTTATTGGGTAGGTACTACTCCCAAATTCAGCGGAGACTTATTTTTTGTTTCTGGGTTCTGGGACGTCTTTTATTTTATTCTTCTGTTTTTTAATGAGTTTATCAATGAGAGAGCTTTCGTACCTGTTGGAAACTGCTATGTATTTCAATATGTGTATTTCTTTGTTGTAATTTTCTCGGGTGAGTGGTATGGATAATAGTCTATGGACGAAACTATTGTAAGCAGCTGTCGCTGTCTTGTGGTTGAAAGGATGGTGTGATGATGAGTGGATGGTCTGGTCGGTTGTTGTGGATTTTCTGTATATTTTAAATTCCAGGTTGTGGTCGTCTCTTGTGATTGTTACATCTAAGAAGTTAATTGACTTGTTGGCTTCGGTTTCGAGAGTGAATTTTAATTTATGGTGGACTTTATTTAGGTAATATCCGAGTATCTTGATTTGCCTTTCATTACCATTAAATAAAATTAATGTGTCATCCACATATCGGCTGTAGTGAACTATTTTTTCCTTTTGTTTGTTGGAATTTGACCATAAAAAAATATTTTCAATATTATTTAGAAACAGTTCTGAAAGGACGCTGGATAGTGGAGAACCCATTGCTAGGCCTTCATGTTGTGTGTAATTATAAAACTCTAGGATAGAATAAAAGACAGCAATTAAGTACATTTTCATTGATATATGTTTACAATACTAATTTAAACTGACCCTAACAGGTCTTCTACAACAACATTGACATTGTAAATAGGAAAACTTACATCCTTACTGCCTTATTACTGTATTACACTTAAAAAAACTTATAAACATTTATTTGTAGCTAAAAGAAATGAGAAAAAACAGTACCACATATGAACTATTCTAAAATGTCATTGAACTAACAAGATACAATTCAATAAACTTTAGTAATAATAACCTCATGAGCTTCATCTTCGACTATTTTACAAAAGTCCAGATATATTCGTGGAAAAAAAATGAAAAACAAATAAATATTCAAAATTAAATAAATAAACAAAAAGAGATATATAATTAGGACTATTTGAATAGATAGAAATAACAAGTTTTCCTTCTAAACATAATAGTCTAGTTTGTTCAGCCTTACAAAAACTTAATTACAAATTTTCAGTAGTTGACGATGTAGGCTCCATCGTGGTCCTTATAAAGACTTAATAATCGTTTAAATATACACATGTAAACTACAGTGAAATTTTCTCTGATAGCCCTAAACTTTATAATATGGTTAAATTATAAATTCAAACGTAGCCAATACCTATTGACACTATGGTACAATACCAAATTAAATTTTTATTCTTCTAGTTTGAACAGTAATAGTTTATGTTTACATTTGATTTAATAAAAGAAAACTTCTAATTTTTTATCTCACAATCTTCCAATCATGGTGCTCTACTTTATCTAATGTAAGGAATCCAAATCCCAAAGAATTATTAGACAAAAATTTATCTTCAATTGAATAAATTTTATTTCAACATATTTTACGCTCTACAGGGAAGACGTTTACACAAACCACAAGTTGTTCTTTCATAGCCTTAATTAGCATTTTAGGAAGTAACTGCAATATCTTTATGTTTGAAATGAATACAACGATTAGAAATGTTAATGTCACAATATGCTGTAGAATCTAAGTTTCCCAAACTACACCGGGCCTGATGATACAGATAAGAAAAATCTACAAACAGGGAGCAAATTTTTAGTTTAGTTAAGTTACAATGTTTTCCATTTAATGCTTAAAATTGTATTTGATTGAATCACTAATATTTTAAATCTTGAAGCTTATGTAACAAATAAAATATAATATAACTGATTAAGTAAAAAAGTCGGTAAAAAACTTTCAAATTTGAAATAAAACTTCCCTTGTCCACACCACCAAAGGCCTCAGTTTGCTAATATCTGTTATGCAATTTCAGAACACTGCTACAAGTTTTTCAAATAGGCTATATTAAATTTTATGGGTGTATAACTTCCAAATGTTTTGAATTAATCATCAATCTTAAATTGCATTATTACACATTCATAGAAAACAACAACACAGAACGCCAATTAAAAATTAATTTTAGAGAATTCACCCGAAAAGGAATAAGTTAAGCTGTTACTGTAGGTGGCACTGTTAGGTTTGTGAAGACAGCCAGGCCCAGGACCGATTTGCTTTTTCATTTTGAATTCCCCAGAGGCCACCTTATTTGTCTTCTCAAGATAAAAATAATAGTGACTGGAATCTTGATACATTCTTTAAATCTTCTTATCTGAAACAAATAAAAAAAAACATTGGTTCAGTATTTCACAATACAATTTTGTGGTTGATATTTTGTTATCATAGAAATATTTTTCCAATAATTAAGGCTGCGCTCTACCCATTCTGGCGCTTGCAAATGCAAGGGTTTTATAGTTGTTCTTACTGTTTGTAACCCCAATTGTGAACCGATTTAAAAGATCTTGGTGTAATATTATTGTAGGTTTTCCGAAACAACCAATTGCATTGCCGAAAATACAAGTATTTTAAACCATATTCCATATCTTCATAATCTGGAGGCTACCTATTTTGGAAAATAAACTTATAGCTTTGTAAAATTAAAATTTAATAAGGTTACATTTGAATTAAACTTCATGAAATTAAAATTACAAAAACATTGAAAGAATTTATTTTAAAACTTATTCAAACCAGCGTTATCAGCTCTCATGAAAATAATTTTATTTGTTTGATACGAGCCATGTTTTTTAAGTAAGTACCGTTTTTAAATTTCTCCGTTCCAGCACTGTGATTGGCATTTTGACATTTGCGCTGTGTATGGGCATCTATTGGTAAGACCTAGACGGAATTTTGAGAAAAATCGGCCGTGTTTACATCCGGTTTCGAGCATTCAAAATGGTGCCGCCAATTGAGACTGCTGCCGACTGTGAAGTGCACGCTGTAATTAGATTTTTAAGTGCTAAAGGTGTGAAAGCCATTGAAAATCATTGACAGATTAGTGAAATGTATGGCGAGAACATTATGAGTGCCATAATGGTACGCAATTGGATAAGGGCATTTAAATACGGCCCCACCAACGTTCATGATGAGTAACGCACTGGGCGGCGTCATTATTGTCCCCAGTACCCAGTGCGTTACTCATCATGAACTTTGGTGGGGCCGTCTTAAAATGCCCTTACCTACTTGCGTACCATTCCGCCACTCATAATGTTCTCGCCATACATTTCACTAATCTGTCGATGATATTGAATAGCTTTCACACCTTTAGCACTTTAAAATCTAAGTGCTATCTAGTCGGCGGCAGTCTCAATTGGTGGCACCATTTGAATGCTCAAAACCGGATGTAAACACGGCCGATTTTTCTCGAAATTCCGGCTAGGTCTTACCAATAGATGCCCATACACAGCGCAAATGTCAAAAATGCCAATCGCAGTGCTGGAACGGAGAAATTTAAAAACGGTACTTACTTAAAAACCATGCCTCGTAATTTTTAATAGTTGTGGTTGTAAAAATTAAAGATGGGTCAGTTAGTTACGGCCGCAGTTTTTTACCCATATTAGGAGGGGAAAATCTAAACCGAGAATTGACAGGGAATGTTGGTTTTGATTTAGGCCTATTAATTATTTCACAATGATTCTGTGGTGATCCCGTGACTCGATCAAGAGAAACAAGACTAAAAGATTTTGCCGCGATCAGGGGCAATAATAAATTATGTTTTTGTAAAAAATCTAACTTTTGCCGATATTTGTGGAACAATCATATTGTTCCTATGATCGCAAAACACAATGTTGATGTCACAAAACTGAGGAATACGAGATGTCTACACAATCGATGTTCAAGATTTGGCTACTGCTGTTGCGGAAGATGATAATGTCTTGGTGAACACGGGAGATGTTCAAGATTTCACCATGACCACTAATAATGAAATTGAATTGTAATTTAAGCTTTAATAATAAGAAATTTAAACATAAACATTGGTTAATGAATTTTGATTGACTTGTTTGGAATAATTTAAATATGATTGAAATAAAGAAAACAAACATAAAGAAATAAATACTTAACATCTCGAGCCCCTTGAACTATTTAGTTCAACAATACATGGTAACAAATTAAACTATAAATAGAACTAAAAGCAATGAAGCTTTGAGATAAGAAAAAAATCTATAAATAACTGTTAAATAAAACTAAAGAAAAAGCATAGGGGTTTTGAAGCTAACTTAACTTAATCTACAGGAAGAGGGGAAAGCTTCACTATAGGCCGAGTGATAAGTCCTGATCTTGTGTAAACTTCAGCCACTCTGACTATGTTGTCTTTGCCTGGGAAGACTTTGGTGATACGACAGGAATAAATTAGGAGAATCTGTTGGTCTTGAGGAACAAAGAACCATACATCCAGACGATTCATAATCTTGCATGAATTCAGTGTAGCTTTTCTTGAGTTCGACACTTCGGTTGAAACGATTTTCCAAAGATCTAAAAATACTATAAGCTGACTTGGCTGAATCTCCTAGAACTGTAGGTTTCTTCTTCAATGGTAGTCAAACTTGATATTTCCTATCGGGAAGACGAGAGTGTGTTTTCATTAAGTAATCATTGCTCTTTACATCATCAGGAGAAATCTTTGAAGCTGTTGGTACTACTTCTGATGCCCAGAAATTTTGAACAGCACTATGTGAATCAAAATCTGAAATTGTGAGGAGATTCACTGTTGTGCTGGTACTAGAGCGCGTATTGTCAAACTGGACAGGAGCATGGCCTAATAAAACATAACCAAAGATGGTGTTAAGAGCAGTAGGCATATTATGCCCCAAGTGTACCGGTTCACCACAGAGGGTATAAGCGAATAGGTCTGCACCAAGTAGCATATCTACAGGAGCAGGTACATCGAAAGTCGGATCAGCGAGGATTAGATTGTGCATTCGTTTCTTTACTTCTTTTGAGATATGACATCTGGGCATGTTGCTGGTTATTTTGTCTAGTATAATGACTGGATGGTGTTTAGCAAGGAGTTGACCACTTAGAGAACTTATATTTAACTGACCTAAGGCTTTTGATTGAACAAAGGTTGAAGATTTCTTTTCTGAAGATTTCTTTTTTCTGAAGACTTGCAGGTAAGAATCAAATTATGTGCACAGTTTTCAGTAATAAATGTTTGCTGTGCAGCACTGTCCAATACAGCTCTCACAACTATTGTTTTACCATTTGCACTTAGTTTTACCAAAGTAGTACCTAGAAGAAGTACAACATTATCATTGTCTTGTGCTAAACCAACAAGAGCTGATGTTGATTCATTTGAAGAATTTTCAACTGTAGTCCTACCAATAACCTGACTCCATTCCACAAACAATTCAAAGCCGCTCATATTAATGCACAGTCACTTTGTAAACATATTGATGAAGTCAGAGCAATTTTTCAATCGCAAAATTTTGAAATTGTAGCTGTTTTAGAAACCTGGTTAAAGCCGAGTATTTCATCCGGGATTGTTGCAATGTCTGGTTATTCTATCTTTAGGAATGATCGGCTTAACAAGACTGGAGGTGGTGTAGCTGTCTATGTTAAGGACGGTTTGAATGCCAGACAATTGTATGCATCTCCGGGTGAGTACTCGGCTAAACCTGAGTTCATGTTTTTAGAAATTTGTTTGTCTGGCTCAGATGCTCTTCTCATGGGGGCATGTTACCGCCCTCCAGGCGTGGGGCATCTGGCAGATTTTGAAGACATTCTCTTGCGCCTCATGCCTGGCTACGGTCGTATTTTAATCATGGGCGACTTCAACTGTGACTTATTGAAACCTGAGCGCTACGACTGCAGACAATTAAAAAACATGTTTGACTCTTGCAATTTTACTATACTTCCACTGGACCCAACGCATCACACTGCCGAAGCTGAAACTCTATTAGACCTCATCATTGTAAATGATCCAGAAACTTCAGTCCACCACGGACAGCTTCCAGTCCCGGCCATATCTCGCCACGATTTAATCTATTGCGCCCTCTCAATAAGAGCACCAAAACCCGAACAAAAAATCATTACGTATAGAAACTTTCGAAATTTAAACGAAGCTAATTTTTTAGCTGATGTTTATTTGATACCTTGGCAATCTATACATACTCTAGAGTCTGTTGATGACATGGTAAATTCCCTAAATGAAATGATTTTGCAGTTATATGATAAGCACGCTCCAATCATTACCCGAAGGGTTAATAAGAAGCATCCCGTGCCTTGAGATCCTCAGGTTAATGGCTCAGCGGGACTCAGTCTTTCGCAGAGCCAGGAGAACTAGAGACGTGGGGCTAATGGCCCAATACCGTCAGCTCAGAAACCAAGTTATGCAACAATTACGTAACTCTCGCCTTCATTACTTCCATAGGCTGTTTTCAGATAGAAAACAGGCTTCTTCTGTGCTATGGCGTAATTTAAAGAAGTTTGGTCTTGGAAAACAAGAACAGTCGAACACTGTATCTGTCCCGTTAAATGTATTGAATGATTATTTTTTATCAGCCTCTACAAATTTAAATAGCACAGTTATTCAGAACCATTTAAATGCAATTTAAACAATGATTTTCCTGAATTTCGTTTCCGTACAATTTTGCAATCTGATGTCTTGAAAGCTATAAGACGAATTACGTCTGATGCTAATGGTGCTGACAATATCCCAATTTCTTTAATAAAACGGGTTTTGTTTGCTCTCCTCCCTACGGTAACTTTAATTTTTAATTCTTCTCTAAGAACAGGCATTTTCCCAGAAAAATGGAAGTCTGCTATAGTCCGTCCTTTGAATAAGATCTCATCCCCTAAACTTCCTCAAGATTATAGGCCGATTAGTATTCTTCCAGCTCTCTCTAAGGCACTCGAAAGAGTTGCCCACTCTCAAATATCCGATTTCCTCTCTCAAAACAATATTTTAAACGAATTTCAATCAGGTTTCCGGCAATCCTATAGCACTGAAACGGCTTTGCTAAAGATAACTGATGACATACGCCTTGCTATGGATCGTAGCCAATGTACAATCTTAACTTTATTTGATTTCAGCAAGGCTTTCAATACAGTCAATCATGAAATTCTTCTTACAAAACTCAAAATAATAGGTTTTTCTAATAGTTCATTATCCTGGATGAGATCATATCTTCATGGCCGAAAGCAGTGTGTGTCTCATGACAAAACTATGTCTGACTGGAGGCAGGTGCCTTGTGGTGTTCCTCAAGGATCAATACTTGGCCCTTTACTTTTTACTATCTACATAAACGACATCAGTTCAGTCTTACAACACGCCAAGTTTCATTCTTACGCTGATGACTTACAAATTTACGCTCACTTCAAAGTCAGTGTGGTGAATGAAACAATCACATCAATGAACGACGACATCAACAGAATTGTTGAGTGGGCAGCAAAGAATGGACTAAAACTTAACCCTGACAAAACCAAACCAATCATTATTGGCCACGCACGACAACTAAACCGACTTGACCAAAACTTTTTACCTCACATCACTGTGAATGGTACTGTATTGCCATACCAAAACCAAGTTAAAAGTCTTGGTTTGACGATACACAACACACTAGACTGGACTGACACGGTGGTTAACACTTGTAAAAGGGTGTTTGCCGCTGTCCACACACTGAAGAAGTTGCAAAGACTTTTACCATTTCACATTAGACTTTTACTGATCAAGTCACTAGTGTTTCCCCACTTCAATTACTGTAATACCGTGGTTAATGATATGACCGTGGCTTTGGCAACAAAATTGCAACGAGCTCAAAATTACTGTATAAGATTTTTGTATGATCTTCGACGAGATGATCACGTCACACCGTACTATGTAAATTCTTCTCTTTTAAAACTGTCTGACGTTAGAGAAATACGCATTATTAATATAACTCATTCGGCCATCAATCTCAAAATTCCAAATTATCTCGCGATCAATTTTAGATTTTTAAATGAAAGAGGTGCAAGAAATACCCGCTCTGGCTCATCAACTCTCCAAATTCCTCACCATAAGACAACAGTTTATAATAGATCATTTACAGTAACAGCATGTCGCCTTTGGAACTCACTACCATTCACTATCAGGAGTATAGAATCCCGTTCCCAACTGACGGCGGCGCTGAAGGCGAACTATCTCGATCGGATGACCGTGGCTTGGTGGGATGGCGTGCGTTAGGCCTAGGTATGGCAAAGAGTGAATGTGTGTGTGTATGCGTATATTAGGGACAAAGATTTATAACTTTAGTTTTTACTTATTATTTTGTTTATAGTTTTAAAAGATTTGTAAAAATACATTGTTTAGTATATATTTAGTACATAAGAGGTTAACTGTAAGAAAGGACCATGTGGTCCTAATGTTCGCCTCAATAAAAAAGTATTTTCATTTCATTTCAATATTTGTTGGCTTTTTAGATTGATGTTGAAACTGGTTTATGAATGAAGATTTTCTTTTATCCACATGATAAGGATAAGATTTAGGATTTGAGCTGGGATTGTCTTGCTTTGTAGATTCTAGATGTAATAAAGTGTGATGGCGACGCTTACATATTCTACAAGATCCAGATGAAGCACAGTTTCTGACTGTATGATTGCTACTTAAACAATTGTAACATAGTGATTTGTTTTTAACAGCTGTCAATCGTTTGTCAGGAGTAAGTTTAACAAATTCATCACACTTGTAAATTGTATGACCACTTTTATTGCAATGTACACGAGTCTGCTGATCCATATTTATGGAAAAAAGAACAGTTTTAGTCTGTGAAGTTGTTGACTGTGAGTTATGGGATTGATTTGGCCTAGGATTGAATTTTGAGTAACCAGAGAAACTTTTGGCAGTTGTGTGGGCTAAGTTTGCTGCTTCTAACTCAGTGCATTCCTTTAGTCCAAAGTAGTTGCATAAATGTTTTGACCCAGAAAATGACGGGTGTAAGTCAGCCCAGCGGATCATACAAACGAGCAATAGTAGATAAAACTGATCGCTTTGTGGATGGAGTAGCAGAGGGACTGACTACTAGTATATGGCGATTATGGGCATTAGCATTTTCTTGAAATGTTAACACAAAGGTTCGGAGTTGCTTAACAGAACAACCTTGCATTGAGGGAAGATCTAAAATGTTGTTGGCATGTAGAGTAATTAACAACCTTGAATTATTGTAATGTTGATGGAGTAACTCCCAAGCAATGTGATAGTTGGCTGTGGTTACTGGTAACCCTTTGATTAGATTTAGAGGTTCAACACTGAGACATGACGATAGGTGAATTTTTCTACATCGGTAATGTTTGAGTTCTTATGTTCAGATATTTTTTAAATAAGTTACAAAAGGAAATCCATTTTTTGGGTTGACCAGAAAAGGTACCAAGATCAATTCGAGGGAGACGAAGACCAGAAGTGGCTATTTCAGAAGTAGTGTTACTTGTTTGGGATTGCTCTAAATTGGGTTTATTGACCGGAGCAAGTACAGTACATACACTGTGAATTCTCAAAAATAAGTCATTGATTTCATCTTGCCTAGTGGCGGTTTCCCGCCTTCCTAGTGGCGGTTTCATTAATAGCCCTAATTTTTTCAATTTGAACTTCGGTTAATTGTTCGGAACCCATTACTTGAAGCGCATTAACATGAGATTGCAGTTGAGTTAAACAAGCTTTTGTGAGTTTGGCTTGTTTGATAAATGTAGAATACCTGATTGAAGACATAGTGTACGTTGAGAATAAAGAATGTCTTTGTGTAGTTGTTTGTAAAAATTAAAGTAGCCTAACTTATTTTAAAATGAAAACAAGTAGACCTATACGGACATGAATTCAAGTTAATTATTCTTCAGTAAAATATGGCATAACAATGAGAAGGTAGGCCTATCAGTTTAAGTAACATAAACATGTACAAAGGTAGCCTAGTAGAAAAAACAAAGAAAGAATACTTTGAAGTAAAGAATTACCGAACAGAATGAACACAATAGCCTAAACTACCTATAATGAGGTAAAAAAGTTGTTAACAATGAAATAAATCCAAGCAGTTAGTATAGCCTACCAATAGAATCAATTAAACTAGGCCTAAACTTAATATTGTAATAATGACAAGTATTTAATTGAGCCTAGCCTATTTGTCTATTTAAAAAGGATGCAAGCAGTTTATTTTTGTTTGAACAATATTGGTTCAGTTGAGAATATGTGCATACTGGCACAGTTTAGCTGTAAATGTGCATTACTGGCACTGTTTAGTTGAACATGTGCATACTGGCACTGTTAACATTAATGTTTGTTTTCACACTGGAAACTACACAGTTTATAAGATAGGCTATTGACTTCAATTAGTTCATGCAGCATGCAACAGGGGCACATTCACAAATTGGGATGTAGGCTACTGAATTGCAAACATTTAAAATGTTGAAAATTAGACTATAGGTCTTTTAAAAGGTATTGCTTGAATGTTCTTAGAAACACTTTTAAGTTAAATCCATGGACCAGAAACAAGATCCGGCTGTTGAAGGACCAATTTATAATAATTAAATATTCTTTTTAGATACAATGTGATATAATATAATTTAATGTAATAACATATGATAATTTTAATATTGAAATGAATTGTAATAATTTAAGCTTTAATAATAATAAATTTAAACATAAACATTGGTCAATGAATTTTGATTGACTTGTTTGGAATAATTTTAATATGATTGAAATAAAGAAAACTAATAAATACTTAACAACCACAAGTTATATTTTATAAGGTAATTAAAATTTCGCCGTTTAGATCCTGAGAAAGGTGTGTAGCTTTTTGATGGTTTGAAACTGGACCCAGCTGTCCTTGATCATTGGGCTTTTAATAAGAACAGTCCTGATTAATGAAACAGCTGATCTTAGTCAGTAAAAAGCTACACAAGGCATCTCTAAAGAATGGTGAAAACTAGAGGTCGCTATCTCTTTTCTAACCAAAACGGTAGCCAATATTACTATTACGAACCAATTTTACCATTGATTTTCTACAACATTTGACGGGCTACCATTTTGGATAGAAAAGAGATAGCGACCTCTGGTTTTCACCATTCTTTAAGTTTTTATAAACACTTCAAAATGAGGTGTCACTTGAAGGGGGTTTACATTTAAAATATTTGAGTTACCCCCCAAATCCCCCCTTTTGGGGGGACACTTAAAAATTTCAAAGTCATAAAATGAAACTTCCTGCTAAGATTGCACGACCACCAAAAGGATATCTCTGTATATTTAATGGGAAAAATATTAAAGGGGGGGGGGTCTTGACTTTTTATTCACCCTGTATAAGTTACCTACCATCACCAACAGCAAAACCTATACCAAGAAAATTACAATTAGTGTGGCTAAGGCTAAAATATAAGTGCGTGGAGATTTGATCAACTTAAATCTGAATATAACCAAAAACCCTTAAACAAAAAGTGAACTGATAAAAAATTGCAACTGACACATCAATAATTAATATAGTATTTAATTAACATCTCCATTATCACAATCTCATATTACATGGCCACTTACCAATAACCGGAAAGAGTCCCACCCGGCATGAAATGTTTGTGAAACGGCATCATGTGCTGGGGAAACATACCACCTCGGCCTGGACGCCAGCCTCCGCTGAACATGGGCCTAGCACCAACGGCAGGTCTGCTCCAAGGCTTGCCTGTAGGAAACCGTCTGGCGTAAGGAGCTCCTCGGTTGTTAGGTGCTTTCCCATTAACTTTGTAAGCATGTTTACTCGACGTAATATGCTGTGAAAAATTATTAAGTATTAACCTTCTCATTCGGAATATTAAATTTCAGAAAAAATAATAAGTAGTGTGCAACTCTATTTGACTACACCCCCACTAAACTGAGGTCACAAAAACCACAATAAAAATTTTCAAATAAATTGGAAAATTGACTAGGCAACAGACACCAGCCGCTGTGACACAGGTAGTTGGCCCGACTTGGCAAACAGAATCTAGTGGAATAGAGGACGACACAGATCTCATACTGTGATAGAGATCAAGTTAAAAACAACTGTCAATTATAATTGGTTGAACCTTGAGAAAGTCTGTTAGCTTTTATTTTTTTTATCCATGTCTATGCCTGGCGTTTTTACTGTTTTTTTTCTTAAACCTTGTGACATCTAACATTGACCTTTTGAAAGAAAGCATTACTTTCAAAGCCCAAATTGCATCTAGGTGTGAAATTTATTTATGAATTTATAGGCAAGCACCACAACCACTCGGCAAACAAGATAATTCTTATAATCAACAAAATTGATGATCAGGCTTCTGATTTCAATGTTGTGGAATTAGGTGATTTAGGTGAGGAAAAGCCTCACAATACATGCCCATTCTGATTTGGTTTAAATTGTCTTTGCCACTTTGTCATATCTATCCAAATGGTAATAAGAAGCACTTTGTTTTTCTGAATATAAATTTTTGACTAAAATTACTCGTTTTTGTTCAACTTTAGAACTTTTAGAGCTCGAAACTATATATTAACTATACATTAACATAATGTTAACATTTAAACATGTCATTAGATTTAAGGATTACATTTTACCTGATGCAGTTGAAGATCGGAGTTGACATGAACATTGCATGCTGCGCAGTACAAACGATTCGGTCCAATGTCCACATTCACCACACCTATTGTCATCAATACTATCTATCTATCACATCGTCTGATGAGATTAAATAAGTCAGATTGATCGACAAAAGGACAGAAAAATCAAGATTTGTTAACTTCGCTCTTGTTTTAGCATGCTATGTTAATAGTAACAATTAAGACTTTACCAAATACAGTACTTAATACACTTTTAATACACTTCCCCCTTAACATGTATATAACGTATCCAAAATAAATAGTAAAAGCTCAAGATGGGTTTTTCTAGGTGGGGAAGCAGAACACGGTCTCATCTTGTCTTAGGTAATTTATTATACTGTTCTCCTTAGAAGCTAAGGAGACCGCCAGTAGACGAGCAAAAAATCGCTTCTCCGCGTTCTGCACCTAGGAAAATCCAGCTTAAATGAGTAAAACCCCATCTTTATCAATACCAAAGCCAAAAGATTTTTTACAACATCCTGTATTTTTACTTCTGCAACAAAATAACATGGTTGACATACCTTGATTGCTTCCACTGGTATCAGCCACTTGAACTGTGTTGGATTTATTTGCCTCAGCTTTACTTTTGTGTTTAGAACCTACCAAACACAACATAGTAACGTTTTATTGCAATTCAAACACAACCATAGTTGGGAAAGTTAGTCAAAAATTCTAACTAGTTAGATGTTATTAGTTAGTCCCGTAAAAAGTAACTGATAGAAGTTATTAGTTAGTTGAAAAACGAACTGATAGAAAATAAAGTTAGCTTTTGTAGAAGTTAGCTGTTTGTTGGGCAGTTGTTTTAAAGGATTTCGTAATGACACATCTTGGTAATTAATCTATCTATACTATTATATAAAAATCTAATGGTGTCTGTCTGTATGTGTATTACTAATAGGTGCAAAAACTACTGAACCCACTGGGCTTAAATTTTACAAAAATATAGCTACCATACCAAGGACCATTATAGGACTATTCACACTTTGATACTGACCGTGGGCTTTGCCCCTTTGGTTTTAAAAGTTCTGAGGTGAGGATTTTAAAAGTAAATATTGATTGGTCACCATGGCTGCAATGAGAATACTCACAATGTTTACATTTGCCTTGGCATTTCAATGTAAACAAGAACAAACTGCCAAATTGCATATTTACAATTTAAGACAGCTGATCCAATGAAATAAAATATAATATTTCACATAGTTATATGGTTGGTTTATTTAATCTAAAAATTTATCAAAGGTAATTTATTCAAAAACTATGTCAATGATTATAGAAATAAAAAAAAATATTCTAAAAGCGTTGCTCTATCAACTCAGGCTCTGCTTTCGATTTTTTAAGTGTCTTAAGTGTTATGAAAATAATGTTATTGATATATTTTCATGGAAACAGTAAGAAAATTACAATGTGTTTTGTATGAATTTGGAGGCTACTTTAAATAAATTCGAACTGCTTAACATGCGTTAGATTAACTTAACATAACTTGCACATCACATTGTTTTTTTATATGTATACCTATTTAGGTAAATTTAGTTATTGTGTTTTGCTAAACCTATGCTTAAATTAAACTAAAGAATATCATCAATAACTAAATTGTACGTAGATTTTTGTGTTCTAAAATCTGTTGTATATGTGTATACAACAGTGTATACATATAGGCCTAATATTTAATTATCAAATGGTAATACAAAATACTCTTATTTTATCTTAACATAGCTTTCAGTTCACATTTACTTTATTTGATAAATTTATTATTTGGGTATTGCCACACCACTGATTAAATTAAACCAAGGAAAATATCATAAAACTAAGCAGTACACAGTGTTCTTTTGTTTCTAAAATCAATTAAATATCTGTTGCTATGTTTACTTAATAGTAAGTGTGAAAATGTAAAGGCAATGGAAGATGGAACTCATTAAAAGAACTGGTTTGTATATTAAGCTGTTTGTTGATATTTTTGTAGAGTAGAATCAGAGATGCAATGAAACATAATACTGTATTTGCTATTACATTTTTTGGTCCTCGACGCTTTGATAATCATATTAGTTTTGTCTGCTGTCTTTAATGCTAAATTAATTGTTTAAAATTTTTTATGGTATAGATATAGTTTCTTTAATATTTTCAAAAGACTATTGATAAGGCACAACAATATTTCTAAAGCTTATAACAGCTGACTGATGGAAGGATTTGTGATTTAATATGAAGAAGAGTGAAATAAAAAAAAATTTCATTTAAATTAATTAAATAGTATTTTTGCATATTCAAAATTGAAATTTAAAATGTCATTGGTCAGTGTTTCTCATATCAGCCTACACAATATTTAAAATTAATCAAAACCAAAATGTGGTATCCACTACTTACCAGATTTAAAAGTCATAACTTAAACGTTTCTATTAAGGCCATAAAAGTTGAATTTTGTTTCTAAAAGCGTTGGCGGATGTGTAACTATTATATGCAACAGATATAAAGATTAAAAAGTTTATATTTTGTGTCCTCTTCCCGTTGCAAAGCACGGGTACAACAGCTAGTACTATAATATGAAAGTTTTCACACAATGATTTAAAAAAACGGCTCCTATGATTTCCTCCAATTGCAATGCTATCGAGAATCTATATTTATAAAAGACGAAGTTTGTATATACAGTAGAACCTAGATATCAAGACTCTCATGGGGATTATAAAATAAGACTTGTTATCGAGGTTGTCTTCTTATCGAGGTTTGCAATAACATGTGATTAGGGGTAAAAAATTCTAGGGGATTTAAAAATGACACTTGTTATCAAGGATGACTGCTTATCGAGGGTCTTGTTATCCAGGTTCCGCTGTATGTATATATATATATATATATTTGAACGTTATGGAAGTCCGAAACCGCTCAACAGATTGTAATGAAACTTTCAGGCATTATTAAGCATTATTCAAGGATGGTTTGTGTGAAGTTTGGTGCAGATCCGTCAAAAGGGCTCCACCCCAGTGGCTCTGGAGGTTCCCATGTTAATCTTATGAGTACTTATATTTAAATGGAATTAAAGAATTTTAACAGCTGGTTAAACCATAGACTAACCAATACAAGTAGACTTCTCATCCCGTTGTAAATTTTGAAGCTCGTTTTTCATGTCTAGTTCATGTACGCCACACTGGGCGCTAGTGTCGACGAAATTTTGTTTCTATTATTTTAGGGTTAATTTCTTGATTTGTGCTTTACTGTTTGGTTAAATAACTAGGGGACAATATATTGTTTATGATTAGATCGTATTATTTGGTTAAACGAGGTTTTAAATGACTGTATTAACGGGAAACAAATTGTTAACAAAACACGACCTCTACATAAACCGTACAGAACAAACAATAAAATTGTCTTCAGCTGTTCCATTAGGATGAGAAATCTACTAAGGGAGTATGTTTTATCTATGGTTAAACTAAACAATTTGATTCTGCGATGTTCAATTGCATTAAAAAATTAAAAGGTTTACCAACAGGGTGCAGCACTATTATTTTTTAAATTTGTGACAACATCTAATTTGCAACCAAAAGGTGAGTGAGCGTAGCGACGAGCTAAACCTGAAGCTAAGTAAGGCTAGCAAACGAACTTCAACCAGGACGTGATTGAGCGATGCGAACGAACTCATCTTGAAAATGAACGAGCATTTGACATGAAACCACATTAGGACAGGACGATGTCTGTCGGGCCAGCTAGTTGCTTATATAATACATTTGCATTGTATGATGTACTAACCAAAGGGATAATTACGACTGTTCAAAAACATTAAGTGTTCCACTGCAAAACATTATACACTGATGTTGAACTAAAAATCTAAAGGAAAGGCCAAGGACGTTTTGTAGTTACACCATCCCGTAATTATAGTTGCGACGTTCCCCAGTGACTTAATGCAATAACAATCAACAGATAACAGATGTTATGTATCATGAGTTTTATATTGATTGAAGCTTATTGTAGACATTTGATATATTGCTCGTCCACATGAAAAAGTTTGTAAGGTAAATTAAGGATGAGTGGATGTCTAACAAAAACGAATTGACTTTACAACTTAATTAATCGTAGTAAGACTGAAAATATTTATAGGTTTATAAGGTCTATTTTTTACCTCTTGAACAAATAAAACACCTCGAGCAAGCTCGGTCCCCTTTTTTTATCAAACATTGTCACATTTGACATTACTACAACAGAAACAAATGACTTAAAACAATTCCTTGTCAGACAATGAACATCAACTGAAGACAATGTTTTGACACTTGAGATGATATATCACCAAACAATCACCAAACATCACCAAACAAACATTCCCCCTTCTCACCCCCATAATAGCCTTCAGTGCCCTTCCACAGGCCCACTGCATTCCAAAGCAACTGCTGGACTTTGACTTTCTCTTCCACCCCCCCCCCTCCCCCCCGTTAGTCCCGTAAAGAGTAACTAATAGTTTGTAATTTGTTTTCGTTTTTTCTGTCGTAACAAAAGTATTTTCAAGAGGCTGACTCAGGCATCTCGAGCCTGTGGGATTTTTTTCCCGTTTTTGACAACCCCTACCGGGATTTTTCTGTTTGACTGTCCCTACACAGGGATTTTCTTTTTTGTGATTATTTAGGAGTCATATTTTAAACTCAAAACGTTTTTAACTTTCGCATAAAAAATGGGTAGACAAAAGGGCAAGAAGAAAGACGAAAGTAATGAGAGGTGTGGAGTTTGTGATGAGTCATGCGAGAGAGAAAATGATCGAGCTATTTGGTGTGATGGATACTGTAAACTGTGGTATCACATAGAATGTGTAAATATTGAGGAATCAGATTTCGTCTCTATAAACTCACTGGGCAACAAAATCAAGTGGCTGTGTGAGGCTTGTGTAAAACGTTTTGATGCAGTGACAAAAAGTCAGAGTGATCTCTCCGGCATGGATACTGGTAGTATGCTGCAAGTTATCCTGGCTGAAATTGAAAATATCAGTAAAGCGAGTCTAGATATGTCTCACTGTGTGAAGATACTGAGTGAAAATCAGGATAGATTTAGTGAAAAAATAGTGAAGCTAGATTGTAGAGTTGCTGAAGTTGAGAAAAATACGGGGAAACATGCACCGGTGGCTGGTAATAGTAAGCCTGAAAAGAGGTTAAAGTCGGGGAAAGACAGGGATTTCCCTTTACCTGCATGGGGATCAAGAAAGCAAGAAACGAACAAGAAGGCCGTGGAGAATTCTGTGACGTCACTTGCTGTTGCTACGAAAAGTGTAGAAACAGAAAGTAGTTCCGTTGGAAACCTACTAGAAAATGACGAAACCAGTGATGGTAGAATAAAAAATGCTGATGAGAAACTGAATGACAGTTTTAATGACGATGATTCCACATTTACCATGGTGGAAAGGAAAAGTAGACGTTCCTCAAGAAGCAGCATGGCTGGAAAGCAAACGCGGAGGAATTTTGTGATTGGCTCCAAGGACATGAATGAAAACAACGAACTTGTTGGCAAAAGGCGTGCTTGGCTTTTCTTAGGTCGTATTCGTAAACATACCTCAGTGGATAAAATCAAAGAGTTTCTGTCTACCAGTTTTCCTGACATTGATTTTGAAGTGGAAAATCTCAACTCAAAGGGACAT